GTTTAGCACCTCAATTTCTTTTCATATAACAATTCCTGAGCCTCTCCCATTGAGTACATGTATTTACCCAGGTTATGGATTTGCTTTATGATGACAGAATTATAGATAGTTAGACAGACAGACAGACAGAAAGAAAGACAGATTTGTCAGGTTGATAGACAAATAGATATAATTTGTCAATTGTAAATACTAATGCTCAGAGATAATTTAAGCCTTTCTTAAATTATGAACATTACATGGGTTCCTAGCTTTACAATTTGTAAGTGGTTATAAAAATCCCCAGTATTGCCTACGAAAATATCAAGACAAATCATTGCAATAATAACATAGAAGCTAAAACAGCAAGTTGCAAAGCAGAACCTCATCTATAGTTTTTACACATTGCATTCAAACCTATGATTTTTCTGTGTTGAAGAGTGAAAAGGCATCAGAAGGTCGGGTTTTCAAGGATCAAACTTTCCATTGTTCTTTGAATCAGAGATTGTATGCAAGTACAGAGCTTTGCATAAGAATTAGTCCTCTTCCGTGTATCAGCTATTTTCAGCTCAGCCTAGCAATCTTTGATTTCTTGGTTTGTAACTATGGCAATAAGATTAAATGGCATTCAGTAAAATTCGTTTTACAAATTAGCTTGGGAGGGTGTCCATGACTGTGATGAAGGAGCAATGCAAAAATACTAGGAAACAAGAGGGAAATTAAATTGGGTTTGCAATATTCTTCAAAATAATCCTCAAAATCATCTAGTGCCATATGGCAGTTTGCAAGCGATGTATGGTGACTTGAAATAAAAACGAGCAAATAACTGCTTGATAGATTCCTTGGCTCAGCTTAAGCCACCACACCTCTCCACTTCCCCCTCGACCATCACACGACATCCTTTGTCTGTGGACGCCTATGTGTCTATGGGCTTGCCAGAGTCTTTGATCTGGGACTTTTTATACTAAATAACAGTCAAATCAATTTCAAACACCTTCATTACAGTACACAGCTCATTATGTTCTAGAAAAATGTTTAGCTCCAAGCCCCAGGCCACGTTATAATGAGGACAGGAATGCACACCAGTACACATGCTCTACAGAGTGTCTCTGTATTTCTAGGTGATACACAATCACCACTGGTCTAAGCGAAAAGCAGGCATTCATTTGCAGCCTTTAAAGATGGTTTCCTAAAGTTTTAAATCGTTTGCCATAAAACGTAGTTTTAATCTTGCAATGCTGTTAAATGTTTTTCCTTTCTGTCGGTAGCCTTTTGAAAAAGTACATAGGCAGACATAGGAAAGAAAAACCTGCATAAATATGTTCTCAAATCCTTAATGAGTGACATACAAATTTGTTATATATATGTATACTTTATATATTTTATACGTATATATGTATACATACATAAGTATATTTTATACATATATAAAAGATATAAAATAATTCTCTTAAATCCATTTTTTAAAGTTTTATATATATATATATATAGACATAGGAGTATTGTATATACAGACAACTTCTTTAAAGAAAAACAGATTTAAGAGATTTACTTTATTTGAAAAAATCTGAGGGTAGATTTCCATCTTATCAATTGTTCATTTACAAAGAAACTCAAGTGCCTTGTTAAGCAAATAGTTTTATTTATGTTTACCCTTCTTATTTTGGGAAGGCAGGAAACTGAATATAAACCCTCATGGCCTCATTTCTGTTCTCTATTCTTTGTGCTTTTTCAATGCCTCAATGACCATCCACGAAATTTTTGACATTACACTTGAAATAAATGTGACACAATGTTGGCTGTCAGTGTTTTTTCACTCTGATTTAATTATAAGGTCTTGCTAAAAACCAGTAATAGGGAAATTACTTCACTGGACACACAAGACATTATCAAAATTACTTGTGTTCCTCTGTTGTTGGAAATATAAGCTAGCGTGGTAGAAATTCTTTTTGCCGTCACGATTGAGTATCATAAATTAATTGTGTATAACTAGATGGAAACAAATGCATACTGGCATATAAATAATCACAACCTGTTTTCTTGCCAGCAAGCCACAGTCTGCTTGGTATCTGAGAAAACACTAATGTAGCAGAGGAATGGCAATGCTTTTTTTAATAAAAGGATTATTACAAAGATAGAACGGATTTTTATGCAGCATAAGCAAGTGATAACTGTTCTCGTGTTAACCTTGAAACTCTACTCAAGAACAAGATTCAGCAGTATTTTTAGTTAGCCATGAATATCTTAGAGGGATCGCTGGGAAGAAGACAGTCCTTACGTAAAAGAAGTGCTTGAACCATTGGTTATAATGTAGTATGACAGCCAAGGTCTGGCACAGGGGGCCAGATTACTAAAAGCAGGATATTATCTGCATAATCCAGGGTCAGCAAACGGAGATGAAACAAGCCAAAGGGAAACCTGCAATCAAGCCTTGTCCTTCAACACATGTCATTAGGAGCCTTGGTTTCAAGTTGCATGGGTGGTAGTATCTAGGGAAAGCTCACTGCTCATTAAGGATGCTCCTCCAAATTGGTCCACGCAGATGAGCTGGACCCCTAACTTATCAGCAAATGTTGAAACTAAAATGCCAACTAATGTCTGAAACAGGAAAAAGATTAGTTCTTAAACTATCCTTCACATTAAGTAAGCACAATGAAGAAATGAATCTAAATGTACAAATTTTTTTTTATCTTAAAAATAGGTTTATCTTAGTAGCCTTATCTATTATGTTTATAAGAGAAGGGTTTTACCGGTGGAACAACATGTGAGTCACAAAAATTCATTCCACACCTAACACTTTCAGGTCAAGTATAAATAAAAGATAAATACACTTCAATTCCAAAGACTAAATGTTAGTCTGCTTACCGTAGCTGTTTTATAACTTGGCCTAAATGTTTCTATGGATGAAGAATCGAATTGCTTGGAGTCGGTATGAAATAAACAGTATGTCTTGAAATGCAAACATGAACTTGCTTTTAAAACAGGCATTAATGACCTGTAATCAAGGTACAAATTAGTAACTAGGAAAACACTGAAGAATGTGCATTTTCAAAAGAAAGGAACATTAGTACTCTAGAACATATATACATAGAAAGCTAAATACATAGAGATTCTTCTGTAATTATTAAAGACGATCATAAATCAAAGAAGAAATTTGTATTGCTGCTTCACAGGTGATAGCACCTCTTCATTAGACCAACAGAAATGTTTGTATTTTGGGAAGAGACAGGAGACTTCCTAAATAAGTGTCAAAATGAACTACCTGCTACATTTCTAGTCTTTCACAGGGCTTTAGATCACAGGGCTTTAGATCACAGGGCTTTAGAACAGGAGAAAATTGCAAAAAGATAGGTGTCACCCTCATACATTGCTGGTGGAGATGTAAAATGGACCAGCCATTTTGGAAAACAGTTTGGAAGTTCCTCAAAATATTAAACATCAAGTTACCATATGACCCAGCAATTTCACTCTTAGGTAAATACCAAATGGAAATGAAAATATATGTCAACACAAAAACATGTACGTGTATGTTCATGGCTGTGTTATTCCTAATAGCCCCAGAGGGGGGAAAATCCAAATGTCAATCAGTTGATGAATGGATAAACAAAATGTGTTCTATCCACACAGTGGAATAGTATTTGGTGATTTAAAAAGAAATGAAGTACTGCTACAACATGGATGAACCTCGAGAACATTATGCTAAGTGAAAGAAACCAGTCACCAAAACACATGTACTGCATGTTCACGTATGAAAGATTCCATAGACAAATCTATAGAGACAGAAAGTAGATTAGTTGTTGCTGGTGGGGGGAGGAGGGAACGGGGAGGGACAACAAATGGGTGCTGGGTTTCCTTTTGAAGTCATAAAAACTTTCTAAAATTAGATTATAGTGATGTCTGTACAAATTCATAAATAAACTAAAACCCACTGAATTATATATTTTGGGTAAATTTAATGGTATGTCAATGATATCTCAGTAAAGCTGTTTATCTTTTTCTTTTTTTTTAAGACATGTCTTACCCAGCTCAGGAACAGAATTATTACTATAGCAAGGAAGCTGCTATAGTAAAGTAGTAAGAGGTTTCAAACAAAAACCTGATTTTAATTAGCGGTGGTTCATCCCCACCCCTCAAGTGTTCCTTGTGTTAGCAATACAACTCAGTAGTCTATATATTCTCTCTCTCATTGTTTTTTTAAAAACAAAGTAGACAACACTGTACAGACAAAGACTCAAGGTTTACCTGGGATAGGGTATATCAGTAACTTGTGTTAATGTTGGCTGTTCCCCTTCTTTTAATTGGTGAATGTGCTGTGTCCCCAGAGTCCACATCTGATGGGAGCGGGTGTCTGCTGGTAACAGGAGCCTGTGGATAAGGTTTACTCTCCCTTCTGTTTGGCACAGAGAGAATAATGCACAAACTGAGCCATTCCTTAGCTGACAATAAAGCAGATCAGAAAGAGCTGATGCTTATCTGTGACTGAGAAGGCTCCACCATAGTTTTTTTTTACCTAAGTAATTTTAAACCCCTTTTAATTTTTTTAATCAGTAAGAAAGGAAGCTCTGCTGTTAAACTGAGGGAGCAACATACTTGGTACTACTGAATACCAGAGGGTGGGACTCTTCACCCATCCTTGAAAAAAGATAGGCGTTATCTGCTCCTGAAGGCAATATTTCAGGGGAAGAAGTTTTTTGTTGTAGTTCCTTGGGTTTTTTTATTTTTCTCTCACGGGACAAACCTCATACGTTCCATTCATAGAAAAGGTTTCCCAGGAAACTTCCATTCAGAGAGAGAAAATGGAGAGAGAGATGCAAACTGAGAGCAAGGAGAATGTTAATGAAGAGAGTGAATGCTTCTGCCCTGTTGTGGGATTTCCATGTTGACAATGACCAGGAATATCACTTAACAGGAGCCTTCAGAATAGTGTTTCTCTGGTACTCCACTGTCTGGGCCACTTGACTAGAAATGGTTTGAACACTCCGCTTTATCATTTGGGCCATAAAATGTCTCTTCTTACCTGTCAACACGGAGAGTCAAGTCCATCTCTTCCCTCTTTGTCTCAAAGTCATTGAACTTGATTCTCTCCTTCCAACATTAATGACCTGACCTATAAGGAAAGGCATTCCATCATGCCTCTTCTGCACTCATTTTGCCTACAGCCTCCTTTCTAAGTATTTTTGTGCATGGCTTAAAAAATTAATGTAAGATATCAAAGAGATCTAGTTCTTCAAAATTCCTTAAGTGAATTGAAAAATGGAGATTACATACTTAGATAACACAAAGATACTTTATTTGCTGTGAAAAGTTTGATTTTAATTGATATTTCAGGATTCTCTTTTTCCCTGGAGAAAAAGAACCTTCCATGATGTCTGAAAAATCCAGAGGGTATGTGTATCAATACTGCTTAAGAGAAAAATCATGAATGACTGTGGCCATACCTTACACTGGTGGAGTCATTCACAAAGCATTCTCATGTCCCTTGTCTCACTGGAAACTACCAACAGTTGTTTGAAGTCCAGAAGATAGAGTGGTTTTACACACGAGGAAGGAAATGAGCCTAGAGAAAGGAGAATGCTCATCAAAGACATAAAAACAGTAACAACAAAAGCCAAGACCATAACCCACATCCCTGACCCCTCATCCGAAACCAATCTGCATCTCTCCATGAATGACCATCACACCTAACTCTGCCCCAAATGCAGCCTCGAGTTCTTTTCTCCTGGTAGGAGGAGGGGCAGTATAGGGGTAGGGGATTAAGAGGTACAAACTATTAGCTATAAAATAAGCTACAAGGATATATTGTACAACACAGGGAATATAGCCAATATTCTATAATAACTATAAATGGAGTATAATCTTCAAAAATTGTGAAGTACTATATTGTACACCTGTAACTTATATAGTATTGTACATCAACTATACTTCAATAAAATAAATAAATAAACAAATAAAAGATTAGTCCTGCACTGCACAAAAACTACAACAATTTCATCATAGGAAATAGGATTTCCTACTTGGAAAGTTGTCAAGAATAAGTTTTCGAATTAAGAAAGAATAAAAAGATAACATCTGCAAAGGACTAGAAGGTCACCTATAAAGGGGGCTCACTGTGCTGCCTCCTCAATCCACGGTCAAACTTGAGCCTCCAGGTGTACATCTAAAATACCAAGTCTGCCATAGAGCCTCTGGAATTCTGCAGCCAGAAGTAATGCCCCCTCCATGGATTTCATGTGCCCTTTACCTATTGTACATGCTGCTTACCACTTAGAAGGAAAGCTGCATGGCATCCTGGAAAGAGCACTGGGTTTGGAGCCAGATGATTTGAGTTGCAACTGTGACCTTGGGTGTGTTACTTAACCCTGCTGCATTTCTGTAAAAGGGGATAGAATTCACAGAGTTGCTGTGAAGATTAAATTAGCTAATGCTTCCAAAGCACTTGACAAATAGTACATAATCAACGTTAGCCATTGTTATTATCAGTATTAGTCTAACATTCCCATTTTATAGAAAACAAACTGAGGCATAGACGAAAGAAAAACTTCACACTGAGGTAAAGGTGTATAATTAATAACAGTACACAACTAACAGGATTGTTGTGATGATTAGATATATGTGGCATATCCCTTATGAAACGTAAGTTATTTGTGTAAGTATGCTAACACACAATTTGGAGTGCATACCCTTGAAAGCAACTACAGTATCTCCTTTATCTTTTCCCTCCTCCATAGCCTCGAAGAGGTCTTCCACAGAATTGGTGCTAAATAAGCATTAACCAAATTAACATACAGCTGATTCGAAGGATGTCAGACATCATATCCAGAGGATATAAATTAGTTTATTAAATTTATTGAATCTATGCTTCCACAGATTCAATGAAGACTAACTTTTTCATTATACTATCCACAAAACACCACTGACCATTGATTTGGTCGGTGACCGGCCTGTCCTCCAGTGTAGGGAGCCCTGAAATCACCTGGAGCACCTCAGTTGCTAAGGAGATAGTTTTTCTCCTGTCATTTGGGTCTAAATGTCTAACTCTCAAGCATTCAACCAAGTGGAGAAGCGCTTCTTTTTCCAGAAGTTCCTCTCTAGGGAGACTAGGAAGGCAAAGGTAGGGTCCAATAAAACCTCCTTAGCAATAAACACTACTGTGAATTACAGTCCTTTGATACCTGCAACTCACTGATTTCGTCCAAAACCCATGGCTCACTTTCTTTATTGGCCCCTAGCCAACATATTTTACTTGTCCAGGACAGTTCTCAATTGAACGATTTCCAGTGGGCCTTGCTAGGGAAGGGAGTTATATACAGGTGCCATTAGATATATCAGGATCTCCCCAGTGCAAAATTGCTCAGAAGAGGCTATGCTGGTGCTGTGTACTGGGGAAGAGATAAAGATAGAAAGGCTTGGGAAACTTAACAAGTCTTTTGTTCGAGGTGAGTCCTGATACTAGATTTGAAAGCCCTTGTCAGAGAGCTGTGGGCGAGATGGCATAGTTCATTCCCTTAAGCTGGCATTGTTTGTTCCCTTGTTCATACATGGGCTGTGGAAATTCATCTCAAAACTCCTTTGAAAACCGTAATTTTGTCCAGGAGTAAAGCCAAACCCAGGACACCTACCCTGGGTATTCTAGACATTTCAGATGTAATGTTCATTATGGTTGAAAATAAAATTTTCGATCTTTATGCCACCTTTTCTTCTTCATTGTCAGAACTGCCCCAGCATCCTGAAGCAATGGTCTTTCACCTTTTAATCACTGGTTCCAACACCTTAGAAAGACAAGTCAACCCGAATGTGGTTATTGATGAGCAAACTGGAAATAGAACTTTGAGTCAGTGGAAGAAGGAAGAAATCTATTAGTTCCCTTTTCTGACCAAAAAAAATCATTCCCTGAGTTTCACGCTCCAGTCCCTCTTAGAAATTATTCTAGGAACACAAAGCCAAATTATGGGCATCCAAGTTCACGCTGGCTGTACAAGAGAAGTAGGTAAGCAATGAACCTTATTAGCATGTGTCCTCTAAGGCTGATGACTGTCATTAGGCTGCTGGAGGATGACATCATTTTCTCTAAGAGGCAGTCAGCTCGAAAATGTCAACTATCTTGGTGAATTAATTCTTGCAGCTGCTTTATGTTGCCTTTTGTTCCTTGCTAAAGAAAGGGACATATTTCATTTCTGGGATCTGTCAGACATGTTGATGTTTTAAATATTACATTTGAAGCCCAATCCAATCTGAACATATTGTGTTTTGAGAAGCATGGTGAAAAAAACATTGACTTCAAGAAAGTAAAAGGCCAAGGTGTTAAACTCTGTAATCTCATTTGAAAAGAAATCCTGTTTGGGGATTCAACTTGCTTTCATTTTATAATGTCATTTTTTTCAAAGACTTCTCTAGTATGAAATTAGTAGGAACACTTATACTACACTGATTCAGTCATAAAATAGTCATATGGGGAGGCAAGTGTAAGAGTAAGAAGAAAACGAGATGGTTTTGAGAGCACAGATAATATAACTGTAAAACACACACCATCCAAAAGTTCTTGCCTCTCTGAATGTACCTCTTTTTCACTTCACCAGCCACATAAGGAAAAAATAGTGTCATTTATTAATTTTTTCAATAAACGTTATTGAACGCCTATAATTTTTTCAGATCCTGTGCTGGGCACTGTGGCAATGACTTTTTAAGATACTTCGCACCCCTAAGAGAGCTCCAAGTTCAATGGGGGAGAGAGACATGCCAAGGGAAATCATAAAATAATTTGGAAGTTCCATGAAAGAAAAAGATTCAGCAGAAAGTTTTGAGAATGGGTTTTAAAGGAAGATAATGTGTGTTTGCAAACACACCTATACAGTCTTCTGTGTAGGGGTAAGTGAGAAGAAATGGAAAAGAAAGGCAAACAGAAAACTATCCTTAACATATAACTACATAGGTATTAGGAATAACCTCCATAGGTGAATGAACCACCTGGCTGTGATATCAGAAGCACCAAAAAGAGCCTTGCAATACCCCCAAATATCTTTCTTGTCTTCTGTGTAATGTCCGAAATACTTTGACCTGAAGACAAATACTTTAAATCCACTATTGGACTTGGAAACTAGGAGATGTAAACCATCGATTGAAATAAACATTAAAGTGTAATTATACTCTATTGTCTTTCTGATAGTAAGTTTGCAGAGAGGTGACTGGGAAAGCATAATGCCTAAAGTAATAAGAAATAAGCAAAACTAAGAGCTAGAAAAGAAATGATGTTTTCCTTCCATGTTTTTTTTTTTTAAATTGTTTTAATTTACCTACAGTGACTGCACAGATCTTAGATGTTACAGTTTGACGTTTCATGAATTCAAACACTCTTCCATCATGCCACACAGTTTCCTCCAGCCCTTTTTAATCAGTTTCCACTGCCCTCCTGGCCAAAGGCAGTCACTGTCCTCAGTTTCTTCACCATAGATTAGTATCACCCACCTATGTTCTTAAATTTTATAGAAATGGAAATACTCTATATGCACTCTTGTTTCTGACATCTGTCATGGAGCACAATGTATGCACATGTTACGAAAACCAGTAACTGCTTCCTTTTTATTGCTGAGAAGTATTCCACTGGATGAATACACCACAGTCTGTTTATCCAGGACCTGCTGATGGACATTCGGATTGTTCGCAGTTTTTAGCTATTTGAACAGAGCTCTTATGAACACTCTTGTAACAAGTCTTTTGCGAATATGCATGTTCACTTCGATTGGGTAAAGAACTAGGAATGAATTGCTGGGCTATAAGGTCAGTGTGGGTTTTAACATTTTTGTGGGTATTTACCATGAAAGTTGGGGCATTTGAACTCAACCTTGAAGGATGAGGGAGAAAAGGAAATAAAGGCCACCCAGGCTCTGGGAAGAGGAAGAGCAAAAGCAGGGGTTGGGGAAGCGCCTGTGGAATTTGGAAAGGTGAACAGTCAGATGTGAATCATAAGGTGCACTTACGGTGTTCCTTTTGGCAAACAGCTCCTGGGATGTTTCCAATGTCTGTGTTATTGTTAGCAGAGTCTACAGAGTCTGAAAGAATTACTGGAACTTCTGAAAGTGTTATGAAGCTTTTCAGAACATGTCATTGTTTCTGGGAAGCCTAAGCCTAACAGCAACAAAATCTTACCTCCTGTTCAAGTGTCTGTTTCCAGAAGAGCTGATTTGGTAGACAAGGTATCCAGCTGGGTACTGAGCTGTGGTCACATCACCGTCACCCAGGCATCATTTCCCTTGCTTCTTAAGAAAAGAATCTGGACTGGAACAGGTCTTCCCCTGGTGGGACCCAGTCTCAACCACTTTGAGGGCACAAGCCAGTTTTCTGCCCCACTTTGCACACTCAGGTCTATACCTAAGAGCTGTGGGATCTCCCGGCTTGCAGGTAACATGAGTCAGCTTGGCTGGAAATGTACACCATTCAAATACTATCAGTTCAGTCTATTTTGTCAAATCTCCCTTTAAGTTTCTGATTAACTTCTTTCAATGGGTTGAGATTCTTATATATTACCTTTGATCATTAAAAAGAGAAATGAAAGGTTGATGAATGATTCAATCTACCCTCCTTTGGTTATTCTACTCCAACACATTGTTCATAATTAAGGAATGATAGCTGAGATTCTAGGTCTACATTATTTTCCTTGATTCTACTAACTATTCTTCAAGAAAATAAACTCCCAAACCACAAATTCCCCCCAAAAAGCTCTAAATCTCAGGAAAGATGTGCAATATCTATAACATTAAATACAATATAACAACAATCACACACACACAAACACACACATACACTTATCCTAAGAGGTTCTAAAACAGTAGACAGACAACACCAGTGCATGAGGGTATGAGTTTGGTGCTACACCCACCTCTTCCTTTCAGAGGGAACTTACATGTCCACAGAACTCTATTATTCATAAAATTAGTCATACAGGGACCAGACAGCCTGGGCTAGGATACACTGCAGTCACAGGAAAAAAGAAATGCAAGAGACATATAAGAACAGAAGCTTATTTCTCACTCTACTACTCACTGGTACTAGAGTGCTGTTGAAAGGAAAAGGCATTAGGAGCCTGGGGACCAGTGTTTCAGACACTAGCCACTGGCCCTGGGTCTAGATTTTAACCTCTGAGCTAAATGACTTAATCTCTAAAATAAGAATGTTGTGCTACATGATTTCTGAGATTCTTTCTAATGCTGGAATTCTGTAACAAACAAAGAAAAATCACCAGATTACAGGAACACTCATCAAATAGGCATGTACTCACTGGACTGAACCACAATTTGGCTGCTCCAATAATTTTGGTCATCTCTATGATCAATAATATTCCTGGTGGCCCAATCAATAATGCTACTAACTGTGTGGATCATTAAGGTGACTAAGGTGCCCTGATAGACTGGGTATGGTCCCTTCAGCCCCATGCTCAGCTGTGGCTAAAGGGGAAAGTATCCCAGCGTCCCTTTGACTTGGGTTCTTTTTTTGCATCTTGTGGTCCTGGTCCTCTTTTATTCTTCAAATGGAAAGGAGTAACAAGACCACATGAGTAAAAGAAAACAACTGAGAAGATGGAGTCAATATTCAGTGTTGTCGTCTTAAAGACCTCCTACCTGGCAGACACTGGTACAGGAAAAAACAAACTCTGAGTAGGACTTTGCTTCTGCCAGTCTACTGTGTAGGTCAGCAAAGAAACAAATATTTATGCTTTCAAGCCACAAAAAAGCATGGAGTGATACATATTGTTATGCCCAAAAAAGCCAGTCTGAAAAGGCTACATACTGTATAATTCCAACCATCTGACATTCTGGAAAAGGCAAAACTCCAGAGACAGTAAAAAGATCAGTAGTTGGCAAGGCCCTGGGAGGAGGGAAGGAGAGATGAATTTGGGGAGCACAGGGGATCTTTAGGACAGTGAAACTATTCTGCATGATACTATAATAGCGAATACATGACATTACACACGTGTCAAAACCCGGAGAGTTTGTAACACAAAGAATGAATCCTAATGTAAACTATAGACTTTAGTTAATAATGATGTATCAACTATTGGTTCATCAATTGTAAGAAGAATGCAAGAGGCAAATAATAACTGTATGGGGAGGGGAGAGGTAACTGGGAACTCTGTACTTTCTGCTCAATTTTCCTGTAAACCTAAAACTACTCTAAAAAATACAAATCTATTATAAAATACACACGCAAAATTTTCAAAATTAAGAAAACAACCCGGAACCCCCAAATGCTGAAAACCTGATTATCTATTGGAAGAAAGAAGGGATTACGACGGGCCAAGTGGAAAAAAGAGCAGCGGACTTGGATATTGAAGACTAAGTTTCAAGACCTACCTTAGGGATAGAAGATCTCCACCTCAGAACTCGGCATACCCAGGCTTCAGTCCTGACTGTGCCACTGCCATGCTCTGCTCTCCTGGACAAGTTTCGGAACCTCACTCCCAGATTTAGTGTCCTCCTTTATAAAATGCGTATATTAGAAGTACCTCTTAAGGGCTCTTGCAAGAATAGAGTCAGATAAGGCAGGTAAATCCTGTAGCAAAAGGTCTGGCCCATTATAGGGTGTCAATAAAGAAATATTATCACTAGTCATCTGAATTAAATTACTTAAATGGTTTAAACCTATTGATGTGGAAGAATCAATGACACTAAGTACAGGAA